AAATAAATAAATAAATAAATAAATTCAAGGAGGGAAGGGGAGAGGGCCGGAGAGAGGGAGAGAGGGGGGGGAGGCGCTTTCTAATGGGCACAATATAAGGGTATACAGCACACCTGGGTGAAGTGCTCAACTACAACTTGAACTTTACCTAACAAAGACAAACAATGTAACCTAATCATGTGTACCCTCATATTAATCTGAAATTTAAAAAAGTAAAATTTTGACTATTCAAAATATTGGTAACTAGGAAAATAAAAGACAGTATTCTTAAGCCTGGATTTTTCTTGTTATTTTTCTTTGTTCTTTGATTGTTTTAATTTATATTTGATTAAATGAATAAAATTCTTTGTGTTCATAACTACATGTATTCTGCTTTCTTCATCTAAAATACTGCGCTGGCATTTCCCAGGGGATATCTCAGTGCTCAGGGGCCAAATTCCAGTGTTAGCTGTACCACTAAATAATAGTGATACTAATAACTTGTGTGTATTAAAAGCTTCTTAGCACCAGAACCAAGTGAGAGAGATTCCAGGTACGCATGACTCCCTCAACAGCTGAAAATCAACTAGTATAATCCACTGTATCAATGGCTAAGGAAGAAAAAGCATTTCATCACATCAAGTGACTTGAAAAGCATCTGGCAAAGTCCTATACTCACTCATTTAAAAAAAAAACCCTCAAGAAATTGGGAATAGAAGAGAACTTCTTCAATTAATAAAGAACACCTGCAAAAATCCTTCAGCCAACCTCGTACTTAACAGTGAGACACTGGACCCCAATCCAAAGATTGGGAACAAGGCAAGGATGTGCTCTCACCAGCTGTATTCGACATTGTACTGGAAGTCCTGACTAATGCAATAAAACAGATACTAAAATATGCACAGATTAGAGAGGAAGAAATAAAACTGTCTTTATTCAACGTCTTTTTTACCTATGTAGAAAATTCCAAAGAAACCTATAAGAAAACTCCTGGAACTAATAAGCAAGATGCAAGATTGTAAGACACAGGTCAAAAGTCACTTGCTTTCCCATATACCAGCAAGGAAGAATTAAAATTTGAAGTAAAAAATAATATCATATAAAATAGCACTAGAAAACAATGCAAAACTTAGGTATATTCCTAACAAAATAATGTACAGGTTCTGTATGTGGAAATCTGCAAACCCCTGGTGAAAAGAAATCAAAGTAGATCTAAATAAATGGAGAGAATTTCCTCTTCGTGGATTGGAAGGCTCAATATTGTTAAGATGTCAGTTCTTCCCAACTTCATTTATAGAGTTGATGCAATTCCAGTCAAAATTCTATAAATATCAATAAACTGATTCTAAAGTTTACATGAAAAAATCCTATAAGACTGAAAACAAAGGGACAGTATATAAGCACTGTACTCTGATAAAGTTGTTTCCTAAGGGGGAGGGGTAACAATTCTGAAACTACTATATGTATATTCTGTAATGAAACAATTAAGAAAATGCAGATGGTGGGAGCCAGGTTTCTCACTGTGGGAGTTATACCTTCATTCACTATACCTTTTAGGAATTTATCACTAAATAAACAAAGATATATATGTCTATGTGTGTATATATGTGTGTGTGTGTATATATATATATAAAGATCGTGTGTGATATGTTCCCACAGCATTGTTTATTACAACAGAATAACCCATCTGAGGGTAGGGGTGACTTAGGTACTGACAGCACTTCTCTATGTGGCTAGAGATTGTAATGCAGAAGAATATTAACTTTTGTACATTCTGATGGCATAGGATTAGTGTATACCAATTTAAGTGAAACAGACAAACGTATGTTCTATATATGGAAAAAGACTAAACGACACAGGCCCCTGCGTGGGTCATGGTGGTCTGTAGGTGGGACTGAGATTTTTGTCTTTTGTTCTTTCTGTTTCCCTTGTTTGCTTCATTAAGCTTCTGTTAAATTTTGTATTTAGGAGAGAGAATAAAAAATATTTAAAACTGATGCTGATTCTCCCTTTGTAATCTCCTCTCTGCCCTTGTTCTCCGTTCCCTTCAGCATGGCTCTAGCTTAGGCTCCACATCTGTCACTGAGACCGTTGCACCATCAGCTTTCTCATGGGCGTCCTGCCTACCAAAGATGCTGTGCTCAGAGTCTCCAAAGTCCCTGTGTTGAGCATCTCAGCTCCTCTTTCTCACCTCCAGACCCTCTTCCCCATCTGGTCTTCTTCCCTGGCTTCGTCCTCCCTCACTAACTGTACCCCCAGTGCCCCTGCCACGCCAGTGCTGTCTGCCGATTCAGCTGCGCCTCTGTCCTGTCTTACGTGTTTAAAGTCTGCCCATCTCTCAAGGCCTCCCTTCTCCATGAAGCCTTCTGTAATTACCTCCAAAACACTACTTCACTTGGTTTAACTTCTGTGGCTACAGTCACCAGCTGCTTTCTGGAGGATTCTGCCTCTTCCTTTGGTCACCTCCATATCAAGAAGGTCTGGACTCCCCAGTTAGGGCTTCATGGAACTCTGTAGAATGGATCTGTTGACTCTCAGTTGCGTCTACACTGTGCTGGAGACCCAGGGTCAGCTCTGCCAGGTGCCTTACAAGGCCATAAATGTGTAATTTTTTTTTTTTTTGGCATACAGGAATCTATTCAATTATACATGTAAACCTATCACACTTGAGATTATGTGGCATGAAAATGTGCACGTATTAAATTACAAAGCTTGTAGGCATACCACTTGGCATTCAGAAAAACTTTCTTCCACAACTGCCTTGTAAATGTTTCAGTCTGAACTTAATTTCAAGCAATTCCTTGGGGAAAAAATGATTCTGTGGAAACCCAGGAGTGTCCTGCAGGCAACCACAGATAATTACACCGAGAAAACATTTCTATAATACTCCTGCTTAACGTAAAAAGCAATTTGCTGATTCTCTATTTCTCTTTTTCTTCCTTGTTCCCTCTTTAAAAAGTGACAGTAGGAAGAACATGTTTTTATTAAAGCAGTAAGCTTTCTGTTTAGCTCTGAAATATCCTTATCTATTGTGTTTTCTTGTAAAGTGTAGGGGTTTTAGGTGCCTCCCCTTTCTTTTAGTTGTCCATGTGCCCGCGCTTTGCCTGTGTCTGGTCTTTCTTCGCAGTTCTGTCCTTGTGCTCCTGGGCATCCATGCCATCAGGTAGAACTGTTGTTACAGTAGCAAAACTTAAACAGGAAGGGCTGGTCACTTCCCAGTGTCCCTTGGCCTGAATCCTTTTGTGTTTCACTGAGATACTGCTGAGCTCACACTGACAGATGACTTTCTCGTTTCCCCGTCAGGTTCAGGGCTGTTAATGTATGAGGTTTGAACCAAAGCTTCCAGTGTACCCTTTCAGCACATGCCGTGTCCAGAAAAACATGACCCGTGACCCTTAACCTGCATTACTTTATGGAACTTTGAGGCACTTTTGTATCATGTCATTATTGGATGAACTTCTCCCAGAAGATTAAGTGTGTTCCAGTTGTGCAGACATTGGTGAATCCTCCTTGTCTTAGAACTGGATATAGTCCTCCTGAGTGGTACTGCTTATATATATGTGTGTATGTGTGTGTATATATAGCCCTTGTCTGGCCATTTGTCCATATGTCCATCCATCTACCCATCATCCATGGTCTCCCCACACCTGGGGCCCTTCTGAGCAGGAATCCCTGATGCATCTTGGAACTCCCCACAGCACCTTTAGAGACCCCTGTGTGTCGCGGAGGCCCAGTGCTCCCCGGGCGATGATGAACATGCTCATTCTCTCAGCAGCACTGTGTGTGTTGAAGAGGGACTCTAAGAACACGGGACCCATTTGTGGGATCGGGCACCATAAAGGAACTCTTGACCTCATGAGACCCTAGGCTGTGTTCTCCCCATCTCCTGACCTCGTGGAAGTCACGTAATAGTTGTGGGCAAGGGTGACATGGGTGGTCCTGTGTTTAACAGCTTTTCTGGTGTATGTGTGTGTGTGTGTGTATTTGACTCTACAGGTCAGTTTTTGGGTTGTACGAGAAATTCTAACAGCACAGACTTTAAAAATAAGGGCAGAAATCCTGAGCCATTTTGTGAAAATAGCCAAGGTAAGCTATTTTATTATTTTTTCCTTTTTTTCTTTGTTTTTCCCTTTTTTCCCCACAAAGGTGTTTCCTTAGTACAGTGATTCTCGACCTTCCTAATGCTGTAACCCTTTAATACAGTTCCTGTAGGTCACAACATTAATGCCGTGACCCTTTAATACAGTTCCTGTGGGTTGTGACAATGCTGCCTTAGTACTTTGGGAGTGTCTTTGCTCTGGACCTACAGGGTTCAACAGGGGCTGTGGCCTGACCTCCCCAGACAGAGGCAGCTGTTAGGCCTGGCTGGCTCCCCCAGTATCCTGTCCATGGATTGGCACCATGCCTCTCCACCCCATAATTTTGGCAACCAACCATTCTCCTTACCTGGGTTTTTATAGTCTCTCCATGAGGCAGGCCCCAGCAGCTACCCCTGGATCCATTCACTTTCCTACTTCAGATTCAGCCAGTGTGAAGAGTTGATGGGTTTTAGTTAGCATCAAATCAATGCTTGAGAGATACCATCACACCCTGCACAATTTTGTCACCAGTCAACAGAACCTCCCCCCCATCCTGAGTGTAGGACTTGGGCCCCCAACTTCTGCCTCCTGCCCCTGGCCTACTGGGTTCTGTCCTTACCACTTGTTGGGCACTAACTTTCCCCTCCTCTTCCTCATCTCTGCCAGCCCAGGCTGTGTCAGCCATCAGCCTTCCGGGACCATTTTGATGCCCAGGCAGCTCCTCCCCATACCCTGCTCTTAGCAGCATTGCTTGGTCTGGTTCCCTGCTTACTTTGTGTGCATGTGTGTTTCCCCCCAGATCTTAGGAAAGCTCACCTTTACTGAGACCCCTATAACCAGGCCCCATAGCAGCTGCTTTACTGACATGGTCATATTCGCTGCTCATATCATTATTATTCCATTTGCAGGGGAGGAAGGGGAGGCTTAGAGAGGTGAAGCGGCCATGCTTAGGGCCCCACAGCTAGTCAGCAGCAGAGTAGGATCAGAGCAGCCCTCTCTACTTTCAGGGGAGCTGCTCTGCTGCTGCGCACGGGAGGTCTAAGTGCACCGTCTGAGCGTTAGTGGCATTGTCTGCACTTGCCTCCTGTGATTCTCCTGAAGCACTTGGTGTTGGGTGTCTAGTGGGCCCAACTTGGGACAGTGCCCAGCAAGGGAGACGGTGCTGAGGAAAGCATGAAACTTACACCAACCTTAGTGCATAAAACTGGAAGCCTGTAAGGGCATACACTGTTTCATGTGCCTGGTGGCAGCATAAGAACAATGCAGAATCTGTCCTTTCCTGAAATCTTTTTATTTGGTACATAACAGAGTGTATGTGCAAGAATGTACAGCAGTTAGTAGCTAGCAGTCAAGGTTAAAAAGGAGGATAGGGGGCCACCAGGAAATCTGGGTAAAGAGTAAATAGACACAGGATAGTCGAACATCTGAAGAGGCCAGATAATGGTGCAATGAGAAGAGAGTGGGGGAGAGCAAGTCTCATCTCCTCAGATACAATCTCAGCTTCTCTGGCCTAAGCTGCTAGTTTATAGTATCAGCTGCCTACACTGCTGATTTCCCCACACAGGGATTGGCCCATAAACATGCCCCTGACAGGGCACCTTCAGACTCCTTTCTTCTCAATTAGGAATACATTTCTCAATTAGGAGTACAGGGGTGGCCCGCCTGCAGGCTTTACCCTGGCTTTTGAAGGGCCTGTGAGGTCTCACCCTATCTATTCCCACGCTCGGAACGTGTGCTGGGGTTAGTGATACTTGATGCTGTTGATCAGCTCTGTGCTGGGCCCCAAGAGAAAGTGGGGTGTGGTCCAGCCCTCCTGGGGCTTTCAGTTTGAAAATGAGTTTATGGTCCCCATCCACAGAATCTAAAATGACCCCTTTTTAATCGCTGCTGTTTTCCTTCTGGTGGACCATCATGCTGGTACTGTGCCCTGGGTCTTTCCATGTGCAAGCCCTTTCCTTCCTCTAGGCCTCTGTCCTCCCATCTGTAAAATGAAAGGGGTGGGCTAGATAATCTCCCAGAGGCCCTTTAGCTCTTAACAGAAACTCTGTGACAGGCAGAGCAATTCAGATACATAGAATGAAACTCTAGGGCAGCGGTTCTCAACCTGTGGTTGTGACCCACAGGAAATATATTAAAGGGTTGCAGCATTAGGAAAGTTGAGAACCATTGCTCTAGAGCAGGTATCCTCAAACTATGGCCTACCAAGGACATTTATCCAGCCCACCAGGTATTTTTGCCGCTGCTGCCTGTCCTGCTTAGTAGCCGACTCGTCCCAATGCCCACAATCTGGCCCTCCAACGGTCTGAGGGACAGTGAACTGGCCCCCTGTTTAAAAAGTTTGAGGACTCCTGCTCTAGAGTAATCTGTTCTTACCCACAGAATGTTACAAAATGTGTGAAATGAAATAAATTAATAAAATGTATTAACTGTGGCTCGGCGCCTGCGGCTCAAGCGGCTAAGGCGCCAGCCACATACACCTAAGGTGGTGAGTTTGAATCCAGCCCGGACCCACCAAACAACAATAATGGCTGCAACCAAAAAATAGCCGGGTGTTGTGGCAGGCGCCTGTGGTCCCAGCTACTTGGGAGGCGGAGGCAGGAGACTCGCTTGAGCCCAGGAGTTGGAGGTTGCTGGGAGCAGTGAAGCCATAGCACTCTGTCCAGGGGGACAGCTTGAGGCTCTGTCTCAAAAAAAAAATGTATTAACTGTGGTGAGGGAGAAGTTCCCAGGTAGGAATAGAGAGGTCAGGATGCCTGTATCAGTGCTTTTCATTTATCTGTTCATTTCATTAGGCCCACTATGTGCTGGGCACTGTACTAGGTATGGGGGACATGATGGTAGGTTAACCTTTGTTCCTGTTCTCAGGAAAGAGGAGAGGCAGGTGCAAAGCAAACCCAACCCTGTGTGCTAGAGATGTGCACAGACGGCTGTGGGAACGCAGAGGCAGAGTCCCCAACCCTCTCAGATCTGGGAACGTGGTTGGGAACCCGTATTAGAGAAAGTGACATCTGAGCTTGGAAGCACCTAAGACATGTGGTGGCAGAGGGAAAAGACGCATCTTCCAGACAGAAGACTGACACCCACACAGCACTGAGCCCTTGTCCTGAGGCCAGACGCTGGTCCAGGCAGTTGACACGCACTGGCCTGTGCAGCGGAGGTGCCGTGATTGCCTACCTTGTTTTAAATATGAGGACACCAAGGCTCAACTTGCTAAAGTACACACAAGTGAGTGGGAGCTGGTCTTTGGGTTTCATAGAACCTGCTTGACAACCCAAACTTCAGCAACTCCCAAGAATGAGACACGGCACCCCAGCCCTGTTAGTGAGTTCCCCTCAGGCTAAAACCAAGACCAGAGTAATTACACTTTTCTTCACTTACAATCAACTGTGTCTCATTCTGTTGTGCTTGATGGTGGGGAAGTTGGATGAAACTGAATTGAATCCAAATGTTCTCACTAAATTGGGGTCTGGTTGAAAGGAGTATGGTCAAGTGATTAGGAAGCCAGAGCGTTGCCTTCCCAGCTGAGAGGGATTACACAGCTTGACACCATCTTTCCTCAGCCTCTTTCTCTTTTGGGCGTTAAGGTAATTGCAGAAGACCCACACTGATACAGTTAGCACAGCCAGGGTTTTAGTTTATAAAAGCCTGCTGGGACGGGCTCAGATTTATCTATAAAAGGAGCCTAAAGCACATTGTCAAACCTTATCCCAAGCCACAGTTCTGTCCAGCACCAGACTAGTCAGCTTATTAAATATTGCAAATGTTTAAATGCAGACTCACCTTTTGACAATTTAAGGGGAAAAAAAGCATATGGTTTCGATGAACTTCCTAGAACTATATTTTCACCATGAGATATTTTTAAATGTAATTGAATTTCATAAATATGACAACATTTGGTAACACTTGAGCTGTTTTTGTTCTGTTGTTTATAGCCCCCAAATAATCTATTCCATATCTTTTTCAGAAACTTCTAGAACTCAACAACCTTCACTCTCTCATGTCTGTGGTGTCGGCATTACAAAGCGCGCCCATCTTCAGGCTGACAAAAACCTGGGCTGTAAGTTAATGCTCCTAAGCTGTCTGTTTGATTTTGGCTGTCATTTCACTGGCGAGGTTCTTCATTCCTTAATCCCTAGCCTTTGTCTGACTGTCTACATGTCGCCCACCCCAGAGTTCCTGTGAGTTAGCGATGTGTCCTCTAGGCATTGTCACTCCTTCAGCCCTGGCCTGGTAAGAGGGGGTGTGGCAGGTGCTCACTGGCTGGGGTCAGAAGCCCCCTAGGGTGGACTTTCCTGGACCCCCACCACATAATGTGTGGTGGTCGGGTCAGTGGCATGACTTCTGCCCTCCACTTGGCTGCAGTTCTTCTCTGGCAGGCTCCAAGCTATCCCCAGGGAGGTCTTTGGAGCAATAGCTCACAGCTGCCCTGGGTCACTGACCATACAGCTAGAGTTTCTCTGGAGAAACCCGTAACCCTCATATAGGAAAAAATGAATTTTTTTTCTGAGACCATGGATAATTTCAGCTCAGGGGTGGAGTCTGATAGTTATATAATTGAGTCTGTAGGAAAGTTTTTGTGCTGTAAAAATACTTTAAAAATATCTCAGACCTCTTTATCCTCCTTAGGTTGGCACAGTGCCTGACAGGGGGAAGTAACTGCTATTTCCATAGCTCATTAGCATTCACCTCCTGGCCCGCCTGCTCCGGGGTCTCTCACAGCCGCACAGCCCCAGCCTTTCAAGACCTGTTTATGTCCCATGGAACTGACGGAAACTGTATGGAATTGTCAGATGTGCTTCTGCAACTCATTTCCGAACTTCTTTCTGCCAGTCTGTGGGCCTGGGCTCTGTTTCCTACTTGGCTGGTTCACAGGCCTTTAAAATACTCCATGATTATGTTTTAGGTGATCAGAAATGAGCCTTGTTTCTTTAAATTGCAAGTTTCCATAGATTTAGCCCTAGCAAAGAGGAATAAGAGGTGCTAGCCCAGTGTCAGAACACAAGGTTTGTGTTCAGACATCATGCAAAACATGACTTCTGGGGGGCTCACTTTCCCATATCTATTCAGGAGGTTGGCTCAGTTTATTGGTTTTCCATCAGTGCTTTGTGGAGTCTTAGGGGTTCCTTAGAGTTGCCTTGGGGGCCACCACCAGCTGAGGGAATGGAGAGAGGGTACCAAGCAGGCAGTTCGGGCAGCTTCCACCAGAACATCCCTGTCTACGTCAGTTTTATCTACTAGGTGAATTTCGTAGAGCAATGGCTTTTGGAGGTCAAGAGAAAGTTTGGAAGCCATGGGTCTCTGCAGGTTCTGCCAACCCTGTGATTCCAAGTTCATCTGAGCAGTGAGGCTTTTTTCAAAAGTTGCTTGGAGATTCTTTCTCAAATGAATTTTCCATCATTTAGATGCTGTTACTGTTTCTTGGACTGCTAGGAGCTGTGTGAAGACCCAGAGGAATGAGTTTTGAGTCTTCTCATGATGCATAGCCCTTACTGTTGGTAATAGTGTAACTCTCAGTGATGCCTCAAAGCTGCATGGTTGGCGCAGGCAGAGGTAGCACAGAGGGCTAGTGGTGTGTATGGGTCATGCGCAGCAATGTGACCCACTCAGCGGCAGGGCAGGGCCCATCCATGCAGCATAGGTGGTGCCCTCCCAGGGTTGCTGTGAACAGTGGGGTGCATCAGGCCAGAGCAATACCCAGGACCACTCTGGTTGGCTTGATAAGTACTGCTTAGGGTAGCCGAGTCTTCACTCCTGTTAATAGGTCTTCACTACAATGAAAATAAACCTCTGATAGCTCCTTGGGAAGCCTGAAATGGAATGTCCACCCAGGAGCCATTCAAGGGCATAGGTGTATTTACCTAGCTCCCTTCTAGGCCGTCTGGGTCAACTGTTCTTCCTCCTGGATTTGCCAAGATAAAAACATATAGCAGACAATGCTGCAAATGTTGTGTATCTGTGAACCCTTTTCATCCTGCCATCTACCACACTCTCAACCACCATACCCACTGACCTAAACAAGAAAGACAGTTTCAACCTACCACCAATTGCTCAAAACAAGAGAGGAGATGATTCTTTCACTTGCTTTCTTTTTTCTCCTCTGCCAAACGTGTTGCATTAGGAACTTGGAAATGCCCGTCAGGAAGGGTCACCCAGCAGGGCAGACAATGGGTAGGTGCAGCATCTTAGGAAGTAAAAATGGCAGCAGCCACACTGCTGTGTCAGAGAGAGGTGGTGATACATCCCACATGAATTACATTGAGGTCTCCAAAGTCATATGTTCAATGAGCTGTTCATCCTTAGGGAACCTACCATTCAGCCTTAGAAGTTTTAGATCAACTTCTCCTCACTCGATTAACCTGTCCTATTAACCCAAGGACTGCAGTTGGCAAAGGGCATCTGGGAAATGGAGGCAACCAGACTCACCATCTTCCCCTAGTCCACATCACTCCGCCCCAGTGGGATGGCAGCCTCCATTGTCTGTCTTCCCGGTGCCCCTGTCTGGTAACGGCGTGCAGGGTGGAGCAGGTATCTACTCTGCAGTTTTGTTTACAGACCTGTCTCCCCCTTTCAACTGCATTCTTTTTTTTTTTTTTTTTGAGACAGAGCCTCAAGCTGTTCCCCTGGGTAGAGTGCCATGGCAGCTCACAGCAACCTCCAACTCCTGGGCTCAAGCGAGTCTCCTGCCTCCGCCTCCCAAGTAGCTGGGACCACAGGCGCCCGCCACAACGCCCAGCTATTTTTTGGTTGCAGCCGTCATTGTTGTTTGGCGGGTCCGGGCTGGGGATTCGAACCCGCCACCTTAGGTTAACGTGGCTGGCGCCTTAGCCGGTTGAGCTATAGGCGCCGAGCCTCAACTGCATTCTTCTGCGATGATGTCTGACTTTTCTCTGTATCCATGGTGCCCAGCCCAGTTATTATTTGTTGTTTGAATTGTGTTTGTTGTTGTCCTGAATTGCTTTGCATCCTTCTTTTGTTAGTAATTTCTGGTAATTAGATTAGCCATAGAAATGTCCAAAGAGATCAGTTTCCCCACTCCTCACTTGTCCCTTTGAGCTGGGACTGGCAAGATGTTATGGGCCTATGGCAGGGAGGTTCAGAGGACAATGAGAGGACCAGCCCCACCGACCCCGGAGGTCAGTGCTGTTACAGTCCTCATTTTGCAGAGGAGGAAACTGAGGTTGGAAGAGGTAGAGTGGCGTGTTTGAGATCTCAGGGCTGGTGAGTGCCAGAGTTGGCATGATGCCACCCTGTCCTGTGGGGCCCACAGACCCTCTTCTTGCTAGCATGCTAGATGGTTTGCTGATGGTGGCCACCTATGATAGAACCAGGCTGGGTATAGGGCAGGAACAAGTGTGTATATATGTTGCTTGGGAAGTGGGCTAGGGAAACAAAGCTGGCCCACAGGGCACAGCTGACTCTCTGAGTGCTGTCTCCGCACGTTACACCATAACCCTGGGTATCCAGGAAACCTGGACAGAAGGGGGTTACAGGTATGTGTGTTGGGGAGACCTGCCACTTGGCTGCACCTTGATGACCTCCAGAGAGGATTGGTTGGTCATTAGTTAGGGCAGAGGAGCCTGTGGGCCTACCCATGGCTGGCTGCTGAGTGCCAGCAGCTAGGTGAGCAGGCGAGACAGAGACAGACACCAAACATAGGCCTTTACACAGTGGGCCCTTAGTAAATACTGGCTCAGTGCACAAACAGGAGAGGAGTCGTGGCTGGCCTGGAAAAATTCAGACAGGGAATGATTTATCCCAGCACAGGGGATACTTTGGAATATTGGCTGCCTCAAAGTCGTGAAACCCAAGAAAGGAGTTGTATCAGCCAGTTCTGATTTCCTGAGTACACATCACCAGGCAGCTCTGATTCATTCTACAAATCAAATATTTATCAAATGCCTCCTCCATGCCAGGGGCCCAGGCTATAGTCAAGGCCCCTGTCTTCTGGGCTTTTATGTCACTCAGGGGAGACAGACACATTATGCAAGGAGAGTGAACACATGCCTAGTCTGGCTGGTCCTAGAAGCTGTCAATGAATGTTTGTTGAATGCGTGAAGTAATGAACAGGAGCTATCAGATGAGAATAAAAGCAATGTAGAAGATTAAACAAAGACACTGTCTTGAGAAATGACTGGTGTGTGCTTTAGCATAGGTGTCCTGTGCTCTGAGATGGTGTGCTGTCAGTCAAGGCCTAAATGATAGGGAGGAACCAGCCATCCCAAGAGGAGGGGACAAGCGTTCCAGGCATAGGGGCAGCCTGTGGCATGAAAAAGCTTGGTGCAATCAAGGTACTCAGAGGTCAGTGTGGCCAGAGCCCAGACGGGTTTGTGGGGCATTGGCTGGGCAGTGGGGCCAGTCATGTGGGGCTGGTAGCCCCAGAGAGGAGTTAAGTTCTATGCCAAGTGACTGGAGAGTTTTAAGTTAGAGACGGACATGATCTGGTTTACAGTTGCTGTTTGGTTTTTGTATTTTTAATAACTGTTGCTACTGTCTGGAAAACAAATTGGGTGGGGGTGGCAATCAAGAGTGGAAACTGGAGGCCTTGTTAGAGCAGAATCCAGGATGTTGGCAGGATCAGGGTGCAGCGGTGGTGTGGGAGCAGCAGGCTGATACAGGATGCATTCTAGTGAGAGCCGGCAGGATGTGTGCTGGGTGGGATGCTGATATGAGGAGAAAGGAATGAAGGGTGAGGCCTAACTTTGAGGCTTGAGCGAATGGGAAGCTGGTGAAACTTTCTGTGATCAGAGTGATTCCAAGAGGTGACCGACTATTCTGTGAGTGACCTGGGAGTATGGAATTCCTGGAGTGTGCGTGAGTCACTCATTATGGCAGTTACAGTTAAGTGCTACATGCCATGCACACGCACATACACTCACATTGAATGCACGTACATGTGCACGCATGGATGCACGCTGCCTGCTCTGTGCACATGTATGTGTGCACACATGGATGCACACTGCCTGCTCTGCGCACATGTATGTGTGCACGCATGGATGCACGCTGCCTGCTCTGTGCGCTCCCAGAGTGATTTGTTCTTTCCTACTGAGTCGATCCAGA